TCACATAGAAGCGGTTAGCATCCCTTGTGGCGGTTCTGAAGGGCCCACACACATCGGTGTGTATGAGATCCAACAAACCTTCACCCCTTTCACAAGTACCAGTGAAGGGAGACTTGGTCATCTTTCCAAGTAAGCAAGATTCACAAGTGTCATCCGACCTTAAGTCGAATGACTCCAAAACTCCATCCTTTTGGAGTTGGCCTATGTGCTTCTTGCTGACATGTCCAAGACGACAATGCCACAAGCATGCTTTATCCAATTCATTGGAAGAATCAATGTGTAACACATTATTTCCTAAGTTGTCTACAACCATCACAGTTTCATATACATCATTACAAGGCAATGCTTTAAAATGAAAAACACCATTATAATAAGCATTAATAGAACTAATTTCATTATCAAATGAAAAACTAAAACCTTGTTTATACAAACCATGAAAGGAAATAATATTTCTCGCCATTTCAGACGAGTAGCAACAATTATTCAAATCTACTTCTAACCCACTACTAAGCAATAAAGAGTAAACTCCAATCTTGGTGACAGGTGAAACATTCCTATTACTCATGATCATGTTTATCTTCCCGTGCTCCACATCCTTACTTCTTTTTAGGCCCTGCACATCAGAACAAATGTGAAATCCACAACCTGTGTCAAGAACCTAAGAGTTAGAATGCGATGAGTTTTTAGATAGAATAGTATAAATACGTGCATGGGTGGGTTTAACCTTCCCATCCTTGACATCTCGCAAATATTTGGGGCAGCTTCGCTTCCAGTGCCCTTTCTCGTGATAGTAGAAACACTTTGCGTCCATAGGAATGGAAGAGGGAGCAACAGAACCAACCTTAGTCCCACTCGAAGAGGATCCATCAAGAGACTTTCCCTTGCGGCTCTTTGAGGGAGCCTTCCTCCTCTTCCCTTTCCCTTGTCCAATTTCCAGAACAGGAGCAGTTGCGGTAGGAGTAGAAACAACATTTTTACCTTTGAGACCACTTTCAGCAGTCCTCAAAATCCCTTGAAGTTTGCTAAGTGTGACGTCCTCCTTGTTCATATCATAGGTCTTGCAGAACTGATCATAACATGGAGGTAAGGAGTGTAGAACGATATCTATAGCCAACTCCTTAGGGAAGTTCACATTTAACTTTAGCAACCAGTCCACAAACCTTTGCATTTTCTGCAAGTGGCCTGTGATGGGTTCACCATCCTTCATCCTGGTTGTTATCATGGAAGAGATGATTTCATACCTCTCTTGACGAGCACTCTGATGGTATCTTTCCATCAGGTCCTGGTGCATCTCAAAAGGGTAGAAGTCCTCATAGGACTTTTGGAGTTCAGTTGTTATGGTGGCCAACATGATACAAGACACCTTAGTCGCATCCTTCTCATGAGCCCTAAACTCAGCGATCTCCTCAGGAGTAGCAGAAGACTCATCAAATTCCTTAAGCTCCTTTTCAAGGATATATTCCTTGTCCCCATAGCGAGTGACCATCCTAATGTTCCTAACCCAGTCATTGAAGTTGGACCCATCAAAGATGATTCTCCCACACAAGTTCATGAGAGATAAGGAGCCAGTAGGGTTTGAGCCAGAAGCAGTGTTGGAAGACATCTGAAAAGAAAGAAAGACAAAGTTTAGATTAGATAATGAGTCCTTAATATAACACCCAAAATGAAATATTAAGGCTAGGACCAACACAATATTTTACAAATTGGAAGAGGGATGTCGTAATCCAGCTTGCAAAATATTTGAAGGTAGGTAAATGACGATTTACCAATTTCCACCATGAAAAACGAAATTGTTATTAGGTTTTAATTGGATTGAAATTCCTAGATCCTTTGAGATTCATTGAACAATTCAATGGCATGTTTAAATCTCGATTATGCCCTTCAGGTTTGTGACTGGGATACCGAGGATCACAAACAAGGTGTGAATAACCATGCAAAATGTGCTTGGTACTCCCGATGTCATTTATCACCCAATCAATGTGCCCGTTAACCATACACGCTCCATTGATCTTATGATAAACATCAAGCCACCCTTTGCCACCCTTACTAGTCCAAGTTAATGTGGCGGTTAACCACACACGCTTCATTAATGACTTGGCAAGGTGCAAAGTGCAATTTTCATGGATTAGCATCAATTTCACATTTTCCTAAAGTAACTAAGATTGGGAATTTTAATAAATCATTTAGTTACTTTATTATTATCATTATACTTTTAATGAGAATTATAGTCCTATCCTACCCGTTCGGCTAACGACCCTCCACCAGTTAAGGAAACGGTGGGTGAGAGTGGACACCCATTAAACTACCATTTTATAGGAAGAAACCTTATACCCCCCTTATAGACCGACTTCCTGAATGAGGCCTACTAATGGTAAGACTGGCTTGATCTTATACATATATATTATTAAACTTATAATACTATAAACTATAAGGGTTGAATTTTAAACTTTTAAAATTCTAGGGTTTGGAATTAAAGTATCTTAAGTGTGACTTTACAAATTCCAAAACTTGAGAACAAGTTTTGACACTATTCAAAACTTTTCATTTTCTTAACTTATGAGTTTAATGACTTTTATGAAAAAGACTTTTAGTTTTCCATAACTTGAGGACAAGTTATGGAGTCCATTAAAAGGCATTTAGATCAACAATTAAACTAAAAAGAAATGTCAAATAATATCTATGATCTAGACAAACTCATGAGCAAATATAATTCACATCAACAATTTTCAAGAAATCATATAAACTAATATAAATCTTTAAACTTTGACAATTATCTTTTAATTGGGAAAGCATGGTCATTACTGTCACACCCCTAAACCGGAACGGCGAAAATGTTCAGGGGCGGAGGACGTCATGCTCAATATCACAACACATGCATCATAGTAATCAAAGTAATAACAACCATTGCATTAATATTAAAGTGTTTACATTGGATTTGATTCATAAAAGATTGACCCCAAAAGTAAATAACAAAACAAAGACATGAAGCTACCATGCTCCATCTTCTGAATCCCTGAGCGTGTACGTGTCTACTAGTTTCATGAGAATACAAGTTATTTTGAAAGAGTAGATCAGCATTTAAGCTGGTGAGTTCATAAGTATTTTTGTTATAAAAGGTATACTCTTTGTTCTTTGAAAACCTTAGTTTGTTCCTCCAGAAAATCCAATATTTTCTGATATGATGAATGATACGAAAATGACTCGTACAATTCCTTCTATCAGTTCATATTACCATACTAAATTTGACTAGTATAAAACACGACGTATTATAGGCGTCGAAAAAATATGACATCTGTCACCTGCAGACCTGCCAGTCCCACTGTAGCTAACAGCAAGGTACGTGATTGTCAGTCCCGTATAGATATATACACAAATGCACGCTCTCCCTCTGGGAGACTCTGGTAATAATTTGTAAAACTTATAAACCCATACCATGAATGGTACACGAAGTAATACCTCACAACTCCGTATAACTAGACATGAAGAGAATACATATGTTCTTTTGTGCTTTGAAAATGTATGAATTACCTTGTACTAGTAGTGTACAATAATTATACTTTAAATAATCGCATTAGTATGATGTTCATGACTTAGAAACTTAGGATTAGTGTTCCCTAAACTATACCTATTATAGTTTACTAGTACGTTCTTTATGAAAGCAGAATATTAGTAATATAGCAGTTTATATAACATGTGAAATACTTTTTAGGATGATAACACAAGATTTCCTCGTGTTTTAACTTGTATTCTTCCCCCTTAAAACATTGAAAAAATGGTAAAAACATAGGGGTATGAACTCACCTTATCTGAGTGATTCGATTGAAGACTGGAATAAGGATGTTATACTCACGAACGAAGTCCAGGAGCACAAACGAGTCCTAAATAGCATATTATGATACATATAGGCACAAAATTAGTGAATATAACTACAAAGGTGCTTAGGAAACAACCTAGGGTGCAAGAATAACTCACCAAAAGAGTGTTAGAAGCAAGTTAGGAGGCTGAAATGGAGTTCGCGGCCCTATGGAGTGATCACGGCCTAAGAACACTTGGGTGTTCACGGCCCAAACATGAAGGAATCACGGCCCAACTTCAGGGAAGAACACTTGAAGATCTTGTTGTTTGGCAAGTGCTTGAAGATCCTAAGTTGTATTCTAAGGAGATACAAGGGAAAGGGATGAAAAGAAGTGAAAATGGTGTTCTTGGTTTATGATACTTGAGATAGAATGGGTTGTGTGCGGCCAAGAGAAGAAGAAGTGAAGGAAAAATCAACCAAACTCATATATATACAGAGAGTTCACGGCCTAACACTACTAGAAAAATAGCCTTTTACGACGCGCAATTAATGACACACGCTAACAGAGGACCCGCATTTGTGCGTGCCCTAATAATTAATGTCAATTTTGCAAAATTTGAAGGATAGAGGACACGCATTTTGCGTGCCCTAAAATTAGTGTCAGAAAAAAAAAATACGGAGGGCACCTATAAAAAATGTGCGTCGTGTAATTGTGTCGCTTTATATTTTTTTTTAAGGAAACACGCGTTTTTAGAGGGAAAATGAAATCCAAAAAATTAACCCCGGCCTATTCATCCCAAAAATTCCCTGCCTCTTCGAATTAGGGCCTTCGTCTTCATCCACAGCTTCCTCAATTCTTCGATCCATCACCTCCACTAAAAACCTAACTCTCGATTCCAACACGTTCTTACACTCTTAATTCGACCCTAATGAACTGAGGATTTAGCGTTCTTACCTCCTAGTTATCCATTTGAGCCGATGATTTAGGGTTCCTAAATCCGACCCTAATTTTTTCTATCTCACTCTCGTATTTCCATCTCATCCCTCTCGCCTGGTTCAAAACACGTAAGGGGCGACGAACACACTATTTCTTTGCATATTTTGGTCTTCACCAAGATCTGGTTTCCATGTAAGCTTTAGGTTTCGAGCCCAAACCATCCTCACGGATGTCATCAGCTTTTTTTTTTACTTTGATCTCAAGGAGATGGAGTTTAACTCGGGCAGCGGCGGAGGTGCAAGAAGCGGTGGGAATGACATGGAGCTATTATCTAAGACGTTACAGGTGCAGCATAAGCTGATTTACTTTGATCTCAAGGAGAATCCACGCGGTCATTACGTGAAGATATTGGAGAAGACGTCGGCGACAAGGTCCACCATAATCGTACCTTTCAATGGAGTCTCTTGGTTCTTTGATATCTCCAACTACTACGTCACTTCTGATGACCAAGATATTTCTAGCAAGGAACTCCAGCTTTATAGCAAGGCAATTTATTATATTACACATTACACATACTATACATACGCTTTAATATTAATTACTTTGCAAAATGTGGATTGACTTTCCTAGTTTCTTCAACAATTATCATAGATTTTTCTTTCAAATAACCTTCATATCTGTCCAATTACCTTTCTGATTAGGGTTCTTTCTTCGGGTGTTTTACTTTGACATTGGGGAAAACAGGAGGAGTCGGTTTCTCAAGGTACGCAGTTGTGTAATTATGGTTTCAGTATGCTTAAAAACGTGGAAGCTTGTAGGTTTTTCTGTTTGTGCCTATATAATCATGTAGGAATCACTTGTGTGTACTTGTATTACAATATGAATATACCTAAAGAGAATGCAATCATGTTTGTTCAGATTGCTAATCTTCAAAGCTTTAGGTAAAGAAGAGGTTCTAAATGCAACCTGTTATTGTACACAAACAAAATCTTCAGAAACATGAAACATGAAACATGAAAGCATATCATGTGTTAATGGAGTGTGTCTACAGGTATCCGAAGTTTTAGTTAGTAGAAACAGGAGTACTATCATTGTCCCAGCAAGAAGCACTAGAGATGAAGGGTGGAGTGCATTCAGGAACACCTTGGAAGAAATAAATGAAGCATCTAAGCTTTTTGTTCTTCCCAATCAGGTTCCATTTTCAACCTTTCTCCACCTTTCTTTTCAAGCAACCAATCCATCTTCTCTTTTTCATGATTCAATTTCCTCCTTTTTTTTAATAAGCAGCAAAATACCGATGCCATTTGTTGAAGAACAAGTCTTTCTGGAAAGGAAAACGGGATAATCAATAAAGGTGCAGAGGAAGGGGCAAATCAGTCAATTCCTCAGGGTCAGAAGAGTAAAGAGACATCTTTTGAAAGTGATAAGAAGCAATCTGCAGTGACTTCATCTACATCTAGTAGTAAGATGGAGGGCCAAGTGCCAAAGGTTGTTCCTGTTGAGTCAAGTAAGATCCCAGTTGTTGCCTTAGGGTCTTCTGAAAGTGGACATGTGCCAATCTTGTAGACTTCCAAGTACACATCTGCATCCAAGACACCATCAGTATCACCTTCACCAGGGGTATATTTGTCCGAAAAAAGATCCTATTTTGATGTCATCACCAGATTCACGGCTGTCTATGGGTACTATTAGATGTGAGGTTGGGAGTAAAGTAGCTGCAGTTGAACCAATTCAAGAGACCCCTCTTGTGATCAAATCACCTTCTTGTGAGAACCTTTTTTTTCAAATTTATTTAATCACCATTTTGTTATCATCTTGTTTTGTATTTGAAATTATTTTGTATTTGATGTAAATTAATTGTATTTATGAATGGTTAAACATGACAGCTGGTTCTGAGCAAGCGAAGGTGGGACCCAGTGAGCTTCAGGGAGTGGGGAAGAATGTGGTTTCAGAGTCTTCTTCACGACCAAGATCATCTTCTTATGTCTCCTTTTCCATTTCCAGGCCTTCATCAAATGCAATCCAGGTTTCTGTTACTTAGGTTGTATTTCATATTGGAGTAGACAACATTTTTTGATAAATGTATGTACTTTATTGGTTCAGAAATGAAAATGTTGATGGAGAGGAGGATCATCTTCAACACCCTACCACATCTTCATCTAATGTACCCGAGAATTTACCAACGGAAGGTGACATGTCATCGAATGCGGGACCTGAGTACAGAGAGTTGAAGCAAGAGACTTCTTCTTCTTCACTCCCTACTCCAAGTCATCAATACCCAGCTGTCCATACATCAGCAAATCCAAACTTCAGTTTTGCGTTCATGCCACCAATGATTGGAAGCTAAGTTACATCTTTTGAAAACACCGAGTCTCAGGCACGCGATGCTTCTCATGTTCCAAGCTTTGTAGTAAGACCCTACCACCCTTTTTATTTATTTATTTATAATCCATTAATTAATTAATTAAAAAAATGATGTATTTGAGAAAATTACTTACAGGTTCAGCAAACGTTTGATCCAGTAAGCTATTATGCGCACTTTTATCGTGAGAGTGATGGACACATGTCACCTTTTGTTTTTTAAAAGGTATAGAGTGATGGGGTGGGGCCTTTTTTTGTTAAATGTTAATCGTTACTGAAAGGAAAAGAAAATCAAAATTTAATTTTGATTTATTTGATGTCACGTGTCTTGCAGGTTCATGATGAGTACTTATATACTCAGATGATGCAGGAAACTGGTGATCAGCAGTCCATGTAAGTTTCTTGATTTGTAACATCTTGTATTCAAGAAATAGCAATGTATAGTCCTTAAAAAAATATAAATTATGTTCTTTGAAAATTTTGCTAGATTCGTAGGTTTAAAAGTAGAATGTCCTAATAAGAATTAATTTTAAAAGTAGAATGAAAATGACAAGTGATTTTGTGTTGTGTTTACAGGGTTGATGAAAGCGAATAGCTCTGGAGTTAGAAGAGGAAAAGAAAGCTCAAGCTGAAAGAGATAAGATGCTACAAATGCTAGTGTTTCATTCTTCATTTCAATTGTTAGTATGAAACACAGAATATAGATTAGATGAATGCAAATTTATATATTGTAAGAAATAGAATTGTATGACATTAAATTTTATGCAATGGATTGTATTTTTTGTATATGGTATTTTATTTCTATTATGAGACATTAGATGCAAATTTAATTTAAAAAATATTAAATATAAAAATATATTTTTTTTAACATTTAATGTTACGATACGCAAAAATGTGTGTCATCTTCATTTATGACATGGCCTTTCTTAACAGGGGTTTTTATGATACGCATTGCGTGCCATAAATGCGCGTCGTAAATGCGCGTCGTCTATAGGCGACGCGCAAAAGCGTGTCGTCTCTTGTTATGACAGGTCCTTCCTTGACGCGCATTTGTGCGTCGTCTGAGCGTTTTACGACACGCATTGCGCGTCGTAAAAGGCTATTTTTCTAGTAGTGTAAGGAGGGTTCACGGCTGTGAACATGGTTTGCGGCCGTGAACCTCATTTGTTGAGGTTTATGGCTCAAGTGAAGTTCTTGGCTCTTGGTTCTTATGTAGTTCTCTTCCTAACACACACCCCTTACGTATACTAGGTCTAGAAACCTATAAGTTTGACCGTTAGTTGATGTGTTTGACCTCAAAAGATAGAATATTTTAGGTTGTGACAATTACCTTATGAAAAAATAGGTTTCATGGTTCAAAACGCAGTTTGGGGTAATGATCGTAATCCAATTTCAGGCCAAAAGTCGAAAATCTACCCACCGGAGCACTAACTCGGCGAGTGCATGAACTGGACTCGTCGAGTTGGTCATTTAACAAAGTGGACTCGACGAGTTCACTGGGCAGAAGGCAGAAATCGATTTTTTACACTTTGAAAATCAATATAACATCAAGTATAATAGAAACAATCCTAGGCTCTGATACCACTGAAGGGTTTAGAGCATCCTAACAACCTTAAGGTGCACATACAACCCTAAATGCTTTGGATCTATGTTTTCTCTAATTATACATGCAAAATGATTTTCCAAAGCATTACCCTAACTAGCATACAATCATGGGTACTTGTATAACAAAAATCTAGTTAGAAGACATACCTTTTCTTGTATCTTGATTCCTTGGACCTTTAAGAGCCTAGCACCCCAAATGTGATGCCTTAAATGCTTCACACAACACCACCAACAATGGAGGACTTGTGAGAGAATACTTGCACTCAAAAATCAGTTATAGCTCTTCGAAGAACACTAGGGTGCCGATTTTAGGAGCTCATGGGTTTCTTATATAGTGTGACAAAACTAGGGTTACACCATGTAAACCTTAATGTGCATGACCTTCCAAATCCCTTATGCTCCATGGGTTTAAACCTCCATGGATCATCCATGGGTTGTCACATGGGTTTAGCCTAAAATAAGGAATCATGGATCATTGGCCCCACACCATAAGAATGAATGATTTACCAAATCAACCCCTTATATTTAATTAGTATCTTTTGATCACAAAATTAGATCCAAATTAATTCTTGATCAATACTAATTAAATAATATGATTTCATATTAATATATTAGAACTTATAGTATATTAATAAATCATGAATATCCTCTTCTCAAAAGCCCATCCTTACAAATTGTTCCGGTACCATGCAACCCTATGGAGTGATCACGGCCCAAGAACACTTGGGTGTTAACAGACCAAACATGAAGGGTTCACGGCCCAACTTCAGGGAAGAACACTTGAAGATCTTGTTGTTTGGCAAGTGCTTGAAAATCCTAAGTCATATTCTAAGGAGATACAAGGGAAAAGGGATGAAAAGAAGTGAAAATGGTGTTGTTGGTTTATGATACTTGAGAGAGAAAGGGTTGTTTGCGGCCAAGAGAAGAAGAAGTGAATGAAAAATGAACCAAACTCATATATATATATACATAGAGTTCACGGCCTAAGGAGGGTTCACGACCGTGAACATGGTTTGCGGCCGTAAACCTCATTTGTTGAGGTTTATGGCTCGAATGAAGTTATTGGCTCTCGGTTCTTACGTGGTTCACTTCCTAACACACAGCCCTTACGTATACTAGGTCTAGAAACCTATAAGTTTGACCTTTAGTTGATGTGTTTGAACTCACTAGATAGAATATTTCGGGTTGTGACATCATCCCCCCGTTAGATGGAATTTCGTCCCGAAATTAGCTTTCTTAGCAGAACTCTTGGGGTCGTGCTCCTATGAATGGTAGAATACCCACTCGTAGGCCTGGGCAACTTTGCCCTGTAGTTCATGATAGGATTCATACCTGGTCCATCTATCATCACCTTGTGTATACAAGTCGCATATAATTAAGGTTAGTAAGATGGTCGGATGTGCGACTCTGCCCCAGGTCCACAACCAGACAAGGAATAGGAGATAGGGCTAAAGCACACATTCTCAGTCCACAGAATCTTAATTATATACTACTATCGCATATACACTTAGTAGTGATAGGTTAACCGTATTCGTCCTTAGGCTTTGTGCTTGAACTTGACCTGTTGTACGAGTGGTAGTTCTGGAAGGTCTGATGGGTATACGTCGGCAAGGTTTCGGAGGTCAAAGTACTCTTCTTATGAGTACTTCGTGGTTTAGAATACAAGAGAGACGATTCTGAGGTCTGTGTCGGGTTGTCGTTACGAGTGACGAGGGTTTTATTAATCTGTCGGTTAAGGCGGTGGGTTTTCGTAGCATATGAACTTGGTATGGTGAGGACCATGCCAATCCACGTCGGATGACGACGTCAGACTCTTTATAGAAACAAGTGTTAAGTCGATTTGAAAGAAACTCCTGTTATAACAATGGTGTATTCCGTGTGTGCTCTATAGTGTATTGTGTGTAGGCTTCCTAGTGTTTTCTCGATATTACCACTGCCACAAAACGTACCACAATAAGTGAGTACTAGCAGTGAAAGTGCTTTGATAACTAGTGATGATACTTTATATTATGACCATTCTCGGTATCTCTATGATCGCTTGGAATATACAAGTTAGGTATAATTAAGATGAATATGACGGTCGACTGAGTGACTCTGCCCTAAATACAAAACCACACAAGGAACAGAAGATGATGCGGAATCACTCACTCTAAGCCTACAAAATCTTAGTTATACATGACCCTAATGTACATACTAAGCCATCATAGCTCACCTGAACGGATCTTTAGTGCTCTTGTGAATGATGTGACTTGTTCGGACGAGTGAGTTATTTATAACTGCTTTTAAATTTTTCCCCAAGTTTTTATATTAATATAATATATAAATTAAATCTTTAAAGTAATTTTATTTAGGAGACATACCAAAAATCTCAAAAGAGGGGTTCCTCGTTGCTCCCTTATGTCTTGTCGTTAAACTCCTCTTCTCCTATGTCATTTCTCTATGTTGGACAGTCTCTCTTGAAATGTCCCATTTCACCACATGCATGGCATACTTGAATTATAATAGCATCGGTAGTTGAAGTGATGTGTTGAGTCAAAGTTCTGCAGAAGCGAGCTTCTTCGTCATTTCTCTCTGTTGGACAATCCCTCTTGAAATGTCCAGATTTTCCGCACCTATAACAAACCTGGTTTACTTCTACTCCGGGTACTTGGGAGATTGGTCATGCCGGCGCCCTGCAGAAACAAACAGTGTACCCCTTCCTACGGCAATTTGTGCACTGCATCTCCCGACAAGCTCCGTTGTGGTGATAGTTGCATTTGTTGCACTTTGGAAGATTTCCAGCATATCGGTTGACGTGGGTTGTAGTGGCAGATGTAGTGCCAGATGATGTAACTGCTGTTGCGACTGTTGTTGTGACTGCAGGGGCAATCACGGGCTGTCGTCTCTTGGTAGGATCTTGAGCCGAATTTTTCCCCATATTGTCCTAGAACTTCCGTTTCTTGTTCTTAGGTTTGTGGTCTGGGATGTCCCTGTCAGCAGACACTCGCTGGTTCCCTTGATTGTTACTGCGATTAGCATAACTGGCACTGCTTCCGCTTCCGCTAGCGTTATTAGCATTGAGTTGTGCCATGACGGCTGTCACAGCGACTGTCACCGCAGCCTGAAAAGTAGCGGAGTCTATCTGCAGAACTGGTGCCTCGCCAGTTGGTTGGTTTCCTCATTGTGAAGACATGGTTCTGTTGCATGGCGAGAAACGATCTCGTGAGTAATGATGGTCATGGCTAGTTGTATTCCACCAATTTAAATATTCTAATCAATTTCACGCTTCGGTGGACTATTCTCTATGTTTCTGACAACATTCCTGAGATGTATCTATAGTGGTGGGTAGAAGTAGGTATTGTACGAGTGTTATTTAAACTAAGTTATCTCTATTTCCGAATG